CAGTAACACAAATAAAAAAGAGAATACCGCCCAAACGGTATGGTTGGCGACATCCGGTTTCGGATTTGCCTCACTCTGGCCAGCCACAGGACACCTGCACCTACAGAGGGACCATGGTTGGCTTTTGCTGCACCACCCACAGCTCAAATTTCACACCCCATATACCGTGTAAACCTGAAGGAATAAGACTGGGAGGCAGGTGAATAGGAGCCACATTTCATCCACGGAGCAGGCCTACAATCCATCATAGGCAAACAGAATCACACTGTACTTGGGAGTCAATCGCGCACAAGGCGGTGGCTGAACCGTTGTCCGCTCCACAATGAGTGCATGGAACCACTTTTCGAGTCACATATAATGAATAATGTATACCATTGCAATATATGATGATACAGTAAGAGACAACCGGTGATGGGTAACTTTAAATCTGATTATGTTCTGTACTTGATAATTCTACTGCTCTTTATCTGACCGCAGTCGTGATGAAATCTGAGCCCTAATATGCGTACAAATATGTCTAGACAATGGTTTTATAACGCGCGATTATACATTTTTCGCTAAGTTAAGAATAGAAAGAACCTAAAGACTTAGTATCAACCGGCACAAAATATTAGGTCAGTACGTCGTGAATTTTCTTCGGAAATTATTCTTTATAAGTAGGATATTTAATTTTTCTGCAAATAAATTTTATTATACTTTCTGAACAGAAAGGTGTGACAATAAAGTAACCACAGCGACATCTATGTGGTTCAGCTTGAGCGCTCTTGCGCTACAGTTGAGATGAACAGATTGCGTACAAAGAACAATAACCCAATCCACCAGGATAACGCGCATTCACGTTTTGAACTATTTGTTGTAGAACCTATCACCCAAAGGGGCTGAGAGCTGCCTCCTAATCTGCCATGTTCTCCCATAAAATCACCTACCGGATTATAGGAATGGATCGCTGAAAACTTGGCTACGGAACAAAGATGGATGGATGACTCATCAAAATTGAATGGGTCTTAAAACCTGCGTTTTTTGCCAGTGAAATAGACTAGCTGGCAAGCAAATAGGAAGTAGTAATTTTAGTGGCTGGTGAATATACCCCGGTATCATCCTTCAATTTTGTTTCACTAAATTCTGCAAATGCTTTCATGCAAGAACATCTGTTTAAACAAAGCTGTAATAAGTAGGATACAACCAACTCTATTACAAAAGATATGAGAAACCTCAATGAAATCTACGACCCAGTTTGTTAGGAATATCGCAAACTGCTTCTTCTGATTACGATACTTTTATATCATCAGCGATCGGTACATGAAGAAGATAAAATTATTCAGGTTAACTTGAAACCAGCGGCCGGTTCCATCGGATAAATGAGTAATAAATAACGCCTAAATTCTATTAAATTCAGGTCAATGAACAAAACGATTCCGCTTCATAACAACTAAAACGCGGTTCGAAATTGGTGTGCTTTTCACAATCATTCGACACAACAATTAACTCATAATGAAACATCAATGAAGCTGTATCCGAGATTAAAATCTTTTAGATGGCTCTCGATACATGCTAGTGCTTGGTAATTTCATCACTGGTAATTTCACCACAGCTTGTATTAGCATCCTCTTTGAAGGTTGATCGCTATGCCAAGGACACATTATCTGTGATTAGTTCTAAACTGCTTAAATGGTCTAAAGATCGCGGGTCGTTTAACTGTTACCTCAAAACTCCACGGACAAAATAGAAACTCGCTCATTGCTAGCTTATGACCCTACGATCTGATACAGTTTTAGGGAAATCAGTCAAATTTCTTTGGAATCAGTGCATTACTTGTTCGCAAATCTTCACAATTGATCGTTGTCCAAACTAATGCATCTCAACCGGGTTCATGCTCTTATAACTTATCCGGTCTCGCCACATCAAACTGAAGTGTGTATTTGCCGTTCCAAGATTCGGTAACATAGGCTGTCTCCAAAGCTGGGTAACTACACGACAAGAAACGCAAAGTCCGATAATCGATTCGGGAAACATGCATTGCCAAAATGATGTGCACAATTATGTTTTCCTATCTTTCTCCCAGCCATTCAGTGTGCCATTTCGAATCGATTATCCAATTGGATAAGTAAACTTAGACCCACAATGATTGTTGAGACGTTCATGAATCTTGCTTGCTCATAACGGAAGCCGTAGAATTACCGAACTCAGTAAAAGGAAAGATTTGACCAGGTGGGTGACATAGCTACAGAGAAGAGAATGGGGTTAAGATAATTAAATACCGCTACCATCATGTGTGGATGTCATAAGTTGAGTGCCAAATATGACGAATTTCCTCAATAACACTCAATACTCGTAAGACGTTTCTACTTCATGTGCTCAACGTAATTAGAATAAAGGCTCATACAAAACCGATTTGTATGCCAAAAGCTACGAAACCCTCAACTTAACTCACTTTAACGCAGGGTGGAAACAAACTGCAGTACCACAGAAGTAAAGCAAAAAGAAGAAAAGCACCTATTTAAATGTTTCCAACTCAAGTGATATCCAAGAAGCTTCATCCGAAGGTGTCTGAATCACAACAACCTAAACGTACGGCCTACAACAACAGCAACAGTAACAGTGGCAACAACAACAACCACAACCACCACCATAACAACAACGACGAAGGAGAAACGTGTTGTTCTGACTTATATGAAGAACATATCGGGAATAGCAGCCAGGTTATTCAAACAGCATCATCTCATCGTGGCACACAAACCAAATGCCACGTTGAGTAAAGCCTTTCCAAAACCAAAAGAAAAACTACAAGCATGTGGACAACGCTATGTGGTCTACAAAATATGTTGCCGCGATTGCGAAAGGGCTTGTGTTGGCCAGACGGGAAGAAAACTGATAACGAAGACACATGCAAATAAAAGAGCTTGTGTATAGCATTATGCATCGTCGCTAGCTTCACTGCATTTAGATGAAGAAGGACATAGCTTCGATTGGAGCAAAGCAGAAATCCTGGCACGCGGTGAAACAAGAAATAAAAGGAATTCCTGGAAGCTTGGTTCTCAAGGAAATCTTCAAACAACTTGCGAGTGCACATCGATTCCATATACGAACCACTTCGACAGAAAGAAATAAAGAACGATTGGTCACGCAGTTTAAGGCAAAAGAACTCGGGCGCCGACTTTAGTCTAGGGGAAAGTAGGTAGAGGTCACGGGACGTAAATCGACTGCCAATTTCAAAAGGCACCTGCAGGGCGATCACGGATGGAGGGTTCATTTAGTAAGATTGCACGCCACATCTCACTGCACTGAGGATACCAGCTCACATGGTGATGGAACGTTTGGGACAAAATCGCCACGCTCGGGGAACAAGTGAACAACTGAATCTGTGCTTCCTTTATAAACTAGCGAAAACTGTTTTGTTTTTTGCATTTCACCTATCCCTTAACTCCTCCGCCCAAATGTATACGTTTTTCAGGATAGAGACTAGAATAAATTAGTTAAGACTGGAATCTGAACAATGGAACAATGGAACAATGGTTTACAAGGGGCAAAAAGGCGTTGCTTAACAAGTCCCGTAGGATGGAAATTATTGTGAAAATCAATTGCATGAACTGTCATAATGTTGCGTCGCGCACTGTCGTTTAATGTTATCATCCTAATACTGCGGTTACAATACTCACGTCGAATCAACCGCAAACACAGCCTTCAAATATTATGTAAGGATCTACTGTGCTTTTAACCACTATACTATTCAGACTCGCTTCACGTCCCCGTTGCCTGAAGTTTGCCATGGCTCTCCACAATGGCATCTGCGTCCATTTTATTTGTTAACTGTCTGGTACACGATAATTATCACAACCGTGGACTGCTATTTTCCACACCTAACCACTCTTTTTAAAACCATAATGCTTCTATTTGTGAACAGCTGTGGAGCGAAAGCATTCTCAACCCCACAATCACGTTGCTCTAACGCAGATGTATATTTGTACTCCAATACTTATGCTCAATAAAGTAACCAATTTCGGCTACTTCTCAGTCGAATTTAGACGTGTCATTCACTAATGCAAAGTGAGCTGCTTAGGCATGTTTATCACATCATACCATATCATAACTGTTTTCAAACCCATAAAACCAGAACGCAAGTGTCGTATGTCATATTAATTAAAAAATACTGGCAGGTGTCATTACGTTTTTGATATTCTTTTTGTCTGTCTGTAGCTTCACTAAACACTTCACATAAACGAAATGTTCATCAGACTCCAATACTGCCATATTTTGCGTCCCTAAGTTGAAATAATTTGGTTTGAATCAAACGCGGATTATATACGGACTGGTGGGCCGACATCACTCAGTTCAACATTTTGACTTTTGTCCTCTGACCTCTGTCTGTACTGTGATACGGATTAACAAGTAGTATACGCTTTTTTATACTCCAACAACAAAATTTAACAAAATGCGTAATGTTTTCAAAAGTACCTTACCTTGGTTTATATAATGCATACTCTATCGTTATTCTTATGCTAGCTGAGTAGCTTCCGTATTATTTGTTCTGCGGCTCGTCAGGTGGCCGGGGATCAACTGTATTCATCTAGAAGACTCTTAGTCAATACATCCTGTTGCTTAAATTTAATTCAATGTTGTTTGAAGCTCTGATCACTAATAAGTTCTTAGACAAAAGCTACGAACCGTCGTTTATCCAACAAGAAGGCACAAGTCATCTGGTCTGATGTTAAAGTTCAACTAGTTCAACAGCATGATACCAGATCAAATAGTTTTGTGTGCGTTTAACTGAGGTCACTCCGAACAACCTATATCAGTGTTGAAACCTTCGATACAATTCGTTCTGTAGTTGGTTTGCTAGCTTTTTTGTTCTTACTAAATCACGAGAACGAAGTTAACATAGTACAACGTACTTCACTCAGCTTGAGGAGCAAAGTAGTTGCAAACGCAGTAGTCTAGTCACACTAACTTAATATCGTTGAACAGTCGGAAATACGTAATTAAACCAGTTTCGTCTTGCAGCAATGGGAGCACCAGATATTGACGGACTGATTTGGACAGTCCTGAAGACAATAGAAGAACAGCAAGATGAGAAACGTGTATTGGAAACTTTGAACAACTTGAACTCTTTGTTTCACTGTTGTAACTCAATATGCAATATCTCCGTAAAAACAATAGAGCAGCTCGTCCGACTACTTTCAGGGCTCCTGCGAAACGAAGACCTTTTGCAAGTGCAGTTAGTATGCATCGATATACTTCGACACGTGCTCAATAGCAATTGCCACCACTCCCTGAAAAATCGTGTGATGCTTTCACTGGAAAGGGAGCTGGAATCGCTGTTTGTCCAAGGCGACCCACAGATTCAACAAGCCATTTGGGAATGTCTAAATACGCATCTTGTGACTACCGGTAACTTGGGACCTACCTTGAAAATCTTTATATCCCGCGTGCTTTATGGGGGAGAAAATGACGTATTTCTGAAAAGAGCAGTTGAAACGATCCATAAAATTTTCGAATGTTTTCCAACTGCACAATTGGCGCAAGAAGATGTGTTGATAGTGGTCATGTGCCTGCTGGAGCATGATGGCAAACGTTTGCAGAGGAGAGATTCCCTGAGTGGTGCCTATTGCTTAGAGGCCATCAGACGTCATCTCAGTGAGGATGAATTAACTTCAGTAATGAAAGCTCTTCCGATAAATCTACAGACAACCTACGAGATGCTCCAAAGTTTCGGAGCTTCTAATCCCATTTCCCCAAGTCAGCACTCTTGTGGACCGACAAGGAACGAAGACGATTACGACCAGCCTTGGCACACTGATGTACAAGACGTGGTGCCCTATGCTTATCCTGTTTACTCAATGCATCAGTTAATACCAAAGCATCTGTCAGCCAATTTGTCCACACAACAGAGCAACAGATGTCGTGAATCTGCAGCCAACTTGCTAAAAATGCATTACATGCAAAAGTTTTACACACAAGATTCCAGAGAACGTGCATATTTCATTGAATCTGTCCAACAACATCTACCGACCTTATTGAAAACCTTTTCACAATTCCTAATGGACAATAAAGACCCAGTGACTTACCATCTTCTTGAAGCAATACAGGTAAGCGATTACTATCTCACGTGGATTGTTCAAAGTGCCGTTGAGCGTTTGGAAAAGTGAATTGCAAGTTTATAGCGAATTTATATTTTAAAAAAACAAGAGCAATTGGGCAAACGGAATAGGGTTTGCCTATTTTAGGCAACATATTTTTAAACACTAGATTGACAAGCTGCATTTTGATGGATAACTGACTGTAAGGATCTAGTGCACCCTGCGGCACACGTGCACTGTCATGTTTGTTTTATGCGCCCAAACTCACCGCATAGTCACTTTACGATAATCCATCTGACCAGTGAAACTGTTTATCGCAAGAGGTTGCATATTACATTCAAGTGAATCTGCTAAGGACTCGGTGAACTCTTCTCTGTTTTCAGTTAGCTTCAGGAGTCATTCTGTTCCTTTGGTGATTGCCACGAAATCGTACGGTCATGATAAGCGTACTGCTTAAACCGGGTCTTCTGGTACCCACAACAATAGCAGAAAACAGTCCAGCGTGTGAACAAATCGTGTAGCACGCAAACAGGCCTATTTGTCGCAACACGGTAACTGTTGGTTTTAAGCAGTTTTTTAGTCCTTACGGATATTCTGTCGTACAGTAAATTGTTTGGCCGCATTAGGAGACGAATTAAGGAGAGCTTTAATCAGTGCTATCAATGTGGCCTAATCACTGAGAATAAACATGCAACATATCCAAAAAGCCCAACTTCTGATCGACAAATGCCATTGAAAATATTTTCGTCACTAACAGTTGATATAAGTTGCAATTCCCCAACACCTCTAAGACACTCGTCCGACGCAACCGTAATACATTCATGAATACACATGCAACTTAATATGTCGGATGTTTAATGATGTAAGTGGGGTTTTCTGGTGAATTCTACTGATTAAACGCCCAAGTCTAAAGCAATGTAAATGATGAGCTCAGTTGGAGGGTCAAGCATTGCCCATCGTGACCCGGTAGCCAAAGGGGTAGTAGTGTTGGCTGCTATTCCAATGGTCCTGGGTTCAAATCCTGCTGTCTCCACCTGATGAGATGAAATTACATCGAAACGCGTCGTGGTTGTGCAGTGTTTTCGGGTGGGCAATACCCAATTTCCATCTATGATGAGATCAGTTGTTTATGTAAACACAACCAAAAATGAATCAAAGTTGTCAATAGAGCCTAAATAAGTGTCAACCACTTTGGTCCTTTGCACAGTAAAATATTGAATGAGCTAACTTGACTTATCTGTTGGCGAGTTCTCATAAGTAGCTTGGTGATAGATGGCATGGTTTTCCTACTTATTCATTGGTCTATTTTAATTTGCTGGAAAAGCCACAAATTTAATCACCTTAGAAGATACTTAACAAAAATAAATAATAATAGTGTGTCAGCTGTATGCCGTAACGGTGCTTTGCTGCCGTGCGACCAACACCAGTCGCACGCGGGCTGAGTATTTCACAACAACGCCCACCCCTACGAGGATTCGAAACTGCGCCGCAAGATTACGGGACAAGCTCAGTACCACCAGTTTACAGTATTTAACAAACCTAGGCGTAATTTACAATTAGTTCTGTCCATGTGTGTGTTACCTCAAACAACAGAGGAAAGCGAGTGCGTGATGTGCAGTTCGCATCTCTGATGGTCTCGAAAGAAAACTGCTTGCGTGCAGTAGTGTATGAGTGCGCCAGACAGAGCTGAGTTGGTGAGCAAGATAGATTGCGACATAAACCCATTAAGAGTTAAAAGGCGCTGGGTAATCCCTATCTTTCTAGTCGGCATTATTAACTTCTCCTTGAAGTCTCTACTTTGTAACTTGAAAAATGTCAACGGAGACCAATGGATGTCACAAACGCATGAAGAAATATTTCTTCAGCTTTTAGTAGCTGATGGATGTACATTTTATCCATGTAAAAATGTATCTTTATGAGGCAGTGTTTGTAGACAACCCGAGCCATCCACAAACATGCGTCTGTTATCATTTTAAGATTTTTCGTTGTCGACGTTGCGTTCATTTACCACTGCACAGAATCCACGTCCCAGAAATACCGATTACTTGTGTTGCCATCTTGTGAGTTACACAGGTTTGGGAAAAACGGTAGCTTAGTGTAAAAAGAGGATTATTATACTCTCCTACTGTTAAGTATAGAAAACTATCTTCATTACCATTGCACAGTGTGACTTCGTCGATGCCGTCAGCAACTCTTCCCTTAATCATAAAAATCTGGTCCAAGCCATTTACGCATTGTGGAAGTGCAAATCCACCTGTAAGTCGTCCCATCAAATTCACATCCAACAAAATCTTATCAAAACAGGACCAACTCTGACTGGTACTCCAGTTAGGTTCCAACAAACTAAGTGCTGCAAAAATTGCCTACAATGAAACGCAGTAGAATCTTTGAGAAGAGTTAGTTTACGTCTACCTACTGCTTGGGACCCTCATCCCTCGCTGTTTGCCGCATTTCCTTGACGAGATAGTATTATCCACAACAGTAGTCGTAGCCCGTTGATTCCATTTCCCAATGTAATGATAGAATTGACACATTATCAGCATTAACCGTGAATGTGAATAATCATATCAAAATCTACTATTACGACTGAAGAGAGCTCATTAGCTATATTGACTGATAGCTTACTCCACATGCATAAACCAATAACGGCTATTCTGTATGAAGACAAGTTATTTGAGCAAGTGATATAGTTTTATGTTGCTAGACGAACTCAGTTAGACATCTGCTTTCGTAGGAAACATTAAAGCATTTCGACTCCCATCTATGTGTTGGGGTACCAAGCGTTAACTATTACAGGCGTGAATGTGCGCTACAAATGGCCCACAGGTCACCTCCATCATTCGAGACAGTTTGGTTGGTCCAATGCACGTTTCCAGATATGATAGTATTCACCTCATGAAAAACCTCTGTTGTGCACGTGCAAAAGCACAATTTAAAGGACTTTACGTATATATATATATATATATATATATATATATATATATGTTTTGAGGCCAGATAATGTTGTTTACCTGCCAGTTAAAATCAGTAGACAAACGACTGGTTCCGACCGTTTAGCGATCATATTCGCTCGCGTTTCTCACTCAGACCGTATTTACTCTCAAAATCTGTATCACACATGTATGCTTGCACTCATCTGATTCAGTTTTACCAGCGCTATATTGTGCACTTCATCTTTGGGATGTAACTTGTGCGGATGCACTTTAATATTCATATCGCAGCTCCCGCACCCTATCCACAGGAACACGCGCGCACGATTATACAAAGACCGATTCACATAACAACAAGTTGGTCTGTAGCAAAAGCCTACTCTGAGACCCATCTGAGGAACCATCAGCCACAGCTTTCGACCGCTAAGTAATGGCCTATCGGACCTTTATGGGTGCATTATCGCTCAGGAACTTTGTTTACACCTTAGAGCAAATTCCGAGGAAAAGACCCAGTAGTCTAAACCTCTCCTACGAGTCCAGTAATGCACTAAAATGTGCTACCGTCGTGTCGACCTTCAGAATGGGGCCAATTCAGTGCACAGAGGACAAACAGGCAACCACACGCGCTCTGCTACTGACCTGAAATGTATTGATCGCAAAGCACTAAACGCCATAAGTAGTAACAAGCAAGATAACGAAGCTACCAAAATGGAAGTAATAAGTGGACAACTTTCATGTCAGCAAGATACACGAACAAGAGTAAAATGTTTTAACTGCCTCATAACGTTTCCTTCTAAGTGTGTCAATCATACAGTGAACAAGTCAAAGCAACCCGCTGGCAGACACGATTTTCTGTGCTATGTGCAGTATGTATTGTCATTCCGCTTGTAAAAATTGCACCTGAACTATTGCTGGAACACGAAGGACTGGTAGCAAGACTGAACAAATGAGGAAGGCAAAATCGCTTCATTAGCAGATAACGTGACGAAGAATTAATCCCAGTCATCCCCAATATACTTCGCTGCAAAACTGAAGAAGAAGGCTGGGTAGCGCGTTAAAGTCACTACCACTGTTGGGTCGAATCCGCCCAAATAATTTACGGCAAGTTGGACTGGAATACTAATGACCAGGGCCTTATTTCTACTCCTAGCTGTTTCAAATTCGCAGAGGGGCGTTGACACTAGTGCTGCTTGGAACGTGGTTGCTGCCAAAAGTACAAGGATACTTATATCTTAAATTACTACAACTGGACCCAAAATAGATGTGGAAGCTGTATCTGTACTTACACTGCATCCATGGATTGCATCCACGCAACCGGGGCTGTTGACTTTAACTCAGACAGACCAAATGACCATTAGGAGACCACGTAGTTTACGTAGGTAATCATCACATGCTTTCCAGAATCGTGGTGGATTTCCTTCAAAGCGAAACAACGAGATGATTTGAACCAGTGGAACTTCATAGGCGAATCCTAGTTGTTATTCAACCTTTCAACTTTACACGAGACACTCGTCACCCAAATACAAAGCACTATAATGAATCGAGTATTCTTCGAGTTTTATTGTCTCCGGTCTATATAAAAGAAGCGGTTCTGTTATCGACAGCTCGTCTCCGAACTTGACCACGTTTCAATGACCCGGAATTTTCGTGAAGCAAGCGCTAAAATCCGAAACACGATTTAGAAGAATACGGAAACGAGGTTGTATGCGGGACGATTAATGTACGCAATGTTACCGAAGATAGAGGATATAATGAGCACGAAATGACCATCCGCAACCAGCAACAGTGGTGACATTTTTGCCAAATTCACTTCTTGAATACTTTCGTAGTGCGTTCGATCTCAAGGCCGCGTAGACCGCCAATTTACAAAGGATATTGCCCGAGAATTATCATGGCAGTGTTTCAATCTAGACGGACATCATTAAGGTTCTCGGAGGGCTGGCATGCGGGTCGCAACAGCTTGCCTTCAGAGCTCTGGATCAAGGCAGCGTCCGTTAGGAAATTACGTTGTACCAGTACCCGACGGCGATTAGTATAACACCACTCAGCTGGCCGACGATATTGGTTAATACACTCCAC